AGGCAGTGGTAAACCGTTTTTGTATTTTATCAAGAAAATCAGATGGATAGAGAATGTAAAGTTATTTATTTAAAATCTTAAACTGCTCAATAGCTGAAGCTTTCTTGGTAGTTTATGATAAAATATGCTAAAAAATACAATTCAAGTAAAAGCATATACAATAAAATAAAATACAAAATAAAGATACCATACCAAATAGGTAGCAGCAAGGTGATAATTCAAAAACAATATGAATTATAATACTATTAAGAAACAATTAACATACAATTGAAAATGCAATTAAAATTTAAAATAAAAAAGCTTGGAAGAATAGCAAAGAATTCATCTGGCATGGAAATGATCCTAGTGTGGGTGCCAGTCAAGCCTCTCTGGGAAGGGCATTCTATAAGGGTTGCCACCACAGAAAAAACTCTCACTTTCAGAGACCTCTGCACCTCCTTTGGTGGTGGGATCTGGAGGAGGGCCTCATTAGAAGATCTTAAGGTCTGGGTAGGTAAGAAGGCGCTCCTTCAAGTAACCTGGTATTAAGCTGTTTAGGGCTTTAAAGGTCAAAGCTAGCACTTTGAATTGGGTCAGGAAATGGACGAGCAGCCAGCATAGATGAGGATTGACAATGTAGTGTCAGATGATGGGCCCCTCAGGTCAGATGGCACTCAACATGCTACTGAGGAAGAACTGAGGATCTTCCTGAGTACAGTACTAATGTTGTTTATGACATGGTAGGTTACAACTTTCAGAATGTTTAGTTGATGATGTTGATGTACAGGAAAAAAGAATCTGAAACTGCAAAGACAGAATTAAAGTGGGAACATGGAATGTAAAAATCATGAACATGGAAAAGTTCAAAATAGTGAAATGAATTTACTACCCATTGATATCTTAAGCATCAGTGAATTGAAATGGATGGGAATTGGACATTTTCAGTCAGAAAGCAAACTGTTTACTACTCAAGAACAAAAAACGAAGAAGGAACTGTGTTGCTTTCATAGTCAGGAATGATATAGCTAGGACAGTACTTGGGTCAATGACCAATAATATTACTTGGATTTTGTGGACACCCCCTTAATACAATAATTATACCGTTTATGCTCCAATTGCTGATGTAGAATAAGAGGTTGACAAGTTTTATGGTCAAGTTTAATCTGAAATTGATGTAATTTTATAGAAGGAGGATGTGCTACTTGTAGTTGGAGACAAGAATACCAAAGTTGGAAATAGTAAGGAGAAAATATAATTGTTCTGTATGGCCTAAGAAATAGAAATAAAGCAGGAGAACGACTGTACAATTTCTGCCAATCCAGTGATTTCTTCACTGGAGATACACCACCTATATAGATAGACATCACCAGATGGAATACACAGAAGTCAAATTGATTATATTATTGTCACAAGGAGGTGGAAGAGCTCAGTTATAATAGCAAAGATGTGACCAGGGGATGACTGCAGAACAGGCCACAAACTACTCATAGGCAAGTTCCAAGTGAAGCTAAAGTGGAAGAGGAAAATCAGCTAGCTTCTATGATACGATCTTATGCCCACCATTTTCAAGGAGCACATCAGGAAACACTTTGAAGCCCTGAAACTCACTGATAGGAAACCAGAGGAATTGCTGAAATGAATGAATGAATGAATGAATGAATGCTAAAGACGAATATGAAAAAAGCCAGCCAAGAACCAAGAAATAGAAGAAAGCAAACTAGATGTAAGAACAAATGGTGGAAATTGCCAAGAAGAGAAGCAAAGGCAATAAAGGCAAATATTTCAAGAAGGAAATTAACAAAGAATTTAGAGAGCTGTTAGAAGAGACAAGAAGCAATATTACAACAATATTGGTAAAGATATTGAAGATGGAAACAGACATGAAAAACAAGAAAAATCTTCCAAAAGATCTTTGACCTCAAAGGGAGGTTTCAACCTTGAATTGATGTGCTAAATGACACTGTCAACAGATAGTAACTGGTTCAAAGAAGATCAAACAAAGATGGAAAGAGTGTATTGAAATTCTGTACAGTAGAGATACCAACATCCAAGATATGGTAGAAGATATTCCCTATTCACAAGTACCTCTAGTAGTAGAAAGTAAAGTTAGATCAACACTCTGTCATTTACCAAGTCTGAAGCCTACAGGAATTGATGGGATATCTATAGAAATATGGCATGCAACAGAAGAAGAATCAATATAGTTCTAACCAAACTATGCCAGCAAATCTGAAGAATGACAGGACAACAGATTGGAAGAATCAGTCTACATACCAAGACCAAAAAAAGGAGACTTAACAGAATGTACAAAAACAATTGTATAATATCCTTAACTTCACTTGCTAGCAAAATAATGCTTAGGATCATCCTATGCAGGTAAGAGCCCTCGGTGGAAAGTGAAATGCCAGATCTTCAAGCCGGTTTTAGAAAAGACTGAGGAACAAGAGACATTATTGCTAATAAATGCTGCAAAACTGAGAAAGCCAAAAATAAGTCAATACAGGTAGTCCTCATTATGACAGTGATGAAAAACTAACTTTGCAACCAATGCCTGCATTTACAACCTTCACAGAGTCTCTCTCTTTCAGTTAGGTGTTTGCCATTGCAGTCAGTACCTGTTGTCCTTTGTCTGACCCATTTTTTCTTTTCCTCCTCTCCCAGGGTGGAGAGATTGCTTAAACAAGCTATCTGTTCCTGAGCTGCTTTTCTCCACAGTGCAGTCCCTAAAAAGTGCTAACTAAAAGTTAACATGCTCAGCTCTGTGACCTTAATTAGCTGTTTAGAACCATCCCACTGGCTGCAGCTGCTGCCTGAAATTGACAAGACCCTAATCAGTTTCACCCTAAAGGCATTTGTTTACCTCCTAAGTGGCTGGTGGCTCCAAGCTGAGCACACTAGGCAAACAACTTGCACGTTCCTTCTGATATGTATTCCCCATTGTGTGTCTGCTTACTCTCTTGTAATCCCTTCCTCTCCAATGAATGTAAATAAAAACAATTCTCTTCTTGCTAATTATCCAGCACCAGGGTGAGCATTCCAAAGGGTGGAGAGTGGGGAAAAAGGGCCATAAGATTTGCCCTTTTATCTGGCTTCCTATTGAGTTGAGTTCCAGAAACCTTCTCCGCTGTTTGGGCTCACCCAGCTGTTTAGGGTCATATCTGTCTGATGCTGTAAAGAAAAGGAAAAGCTGAAGTAAAATAGTAAGCACAGTTGTGGTCACATGATTTTTCACTTAATAACTGCTTCACTTAATGACCAATTGCAGTCGCTAAATGAGGACTACCTGTATGTACTTTATTGACTATAGAAAGGGCTTTGATTATATTAACCATGCCAAGCTGTGAAGTGTCCTTAGGAAAATGGGAATCCTAGAGCATCTCATTGTCTTCGTGTGAAACTTGTACATAGGACAGAAAGCCACAGTCTGAACGGAACATAGTAAAACAGACTGGTTCCAGGTTGGCAAAGGAATGAGACAAGGCTGTATACTATCTCCTATGTGCTTTTCATTCTCTCCTTGGCAGCCAGTGATGGTGTCTGTGAGAGGGGCAGGAAGTAAACAAGCCTTTCCCAGCTTTTTCCTTTATGTTGATCACTGTTTTGAGGACCATCACATAAGTCAGAAGTTGGCAGTGTGGGGCCTAGGGGTACCACAGCCCATGTGACTCTCCAAGATGATATCTGTGGGATTTTAAAACAAAGTAAACATACTTTAATTTTTATAATGGGCAAAACCTCATTTTCACCTAAACCTTTGAGATTTGGGGCAATAAAATTTGATACAAAAAATGAGATTTACAAAGTCTTGCAAGATTTGGCAATCTGGCAAGATTTGGGCATATATTTATGTATATGTATGTGCACATACACACATGGACCAACTCAAAGGTCCACCTGCAACCTGGTGAACAGCTAATGGTTTCTCAACCACAAACGAGGTTGGGAATCATTTGGAACAATACTATGATTCCCATGTTTCCATAACTATATGTTACAACTATGCATGCTTCAACAGTGGTCTTTGGGATCCTGAAAAAAGGTGTGGTTGCTTTAAGAAGTCATTTTTTTTTAATGTGACTCTTAAAGCAGTTGTGCAATTTTTTAGGCTGACTAGAAGCCTGAAAAAAGATGGAATGCTTTAGTGAATAGTGGAAAGGTATTGTGTTCACCCAAGGTCTGAAGTACTACTTCCTATTTTGATGTGTAGACAACCATATTACATATTATGAAAAGAAAAGTTGACACAAGTTTATCGATTTTGGTGGCAATCCCATTAATGACATCAGTTCTCATTTGTACCAAAGCAAGAGTTACTTTAGCAAATTATTTCATTATTTACTTTTTATTCTATTTGCTTTTTGCTAGCCTGTGTGATATCATTATGCTATCCTATAATAAGATTTGAAGTAATTTCTTTTAAGCAACTCTGTTGCCCACTTTAATAAATGGATGCACTGTTTTGTAATAAAGAAGTTGTCTGGCTTCTCTGCAGAGAAATTATTAAAGGAGAAAATAACTCTGTAATAAAGAAGAACTCTCATTGTGTGAGAGGACTGAGAATAACCTTCAAACAGCCTCAGATAAAACCCAATGAAGAACCAGTTTGAAACTGGATGGAAGTTTTGGATCCAACTTAGATGACTTTCTGTACTGCTTTTTTTTGTGAATAATTCTAATTATAATGCCGTTAAAAGTCATAATAATTACATACTTAAGTAATAGCAATCACATTTTAATATATCTGACTGCATTTGTCTTTCTGGTTATTATTATTTTTTTTGTTAATGTGGAATCTATAAAAATATCTGTTTGCAAATTCTTTTGATTTATGTGGCTAATGTAGCTTTCTTCTATTATTAAAAATGATCATTTTCTGGTAAACTGGGAGTATTGAGCTCTATTCTTCTGGAAATGGCCTTTTGTGATAGATGCAATTTGTTGTTCTAGGAATGGATGACAGTAATGGAGGATGGTTTATGGCTTTTAAATATTTTACTCCATGTTTTTAATTTTGTTTATAGGAAAGTTCTCATCTGCCGGCTTCTTTGTTGTTAGCCCAGCATAAAGATCGGTCTACACAGCTAGAAATGCAACTGGAGATTCCCAAACCTGTCAAGCCAGTGGCATTTTCAACAGGCATCAAAATGGTAAACTGTAAACAACTTTCTGTGTGTATGAGAGAGAATTATCTTTTCCTTTTCCAGTCTAACATTTCCAATCTGAGTTTGGAACAATAGATCAAATCCTAGATTCACTGTAGTACCAAAGTTGTGATTAATTGATTAGAAGGTAGGGATAAAGAAAACAGAATGATATATTAAATTGATTGGTTCCAAAACCTTGTTATACTTCTAGTTCATGAATGTACAGTAGATTATATCACACATTGGAAAGCACAGCCCGTTGGCCGTGGATTCAATGCATGCTAACAATCTTTTCTGTATTTCAATGCCATACAAATGAATGCAACCTATTAAGCAATAATCTATGCTGGATATGGATGACTGTTTGCTCCAGATACATTCTGCATTAAGGTTCGGCATATTTTGAAAATTATTTAGAAGAACTATTTTGGATCTTGTGCAAATGTGCGCATAACACCTATTCACTATTTGTTGAAGAAGCCCAATCTTTTTCAGGCTTTGGTGTGAAATTGAAAAAAAAAGAGTTGCAGTTGCTTTAAAAATCATATCAATTTTGGTGAGTCGACAACCTTGAAGCAGTTGCAATTGAAAAGACAGAAAAAAGTTGGGTTTGTACAACATCTGAAGTGCTACTTTGGGATCATTTTCAAAGCATTGACAGTCTTATTCTTTATGAAATATGGATGATGACAGTATGAAATAGCTCTACAAGGAGTCTCTCCAAAGTTCATCTAGATGTGGTATTTTTTTTATTTTATCATAAAAGTTATAGTTCTTTGGCTCTGTCACATAGATTGTGTGTACCTTTTTCTTATGAACAGTCAGCATTCATTGTTTACTGGGTTTGGACATAACATTAATCTTTGATATAACTATGAAGAAGGAATCATACTTTTTTGCTTTTATTTTCAATTAATCTTGATTATACTTGCATGCAGATATATAATTAATCTTGACGGTGGTTTAGGGCACCTCTCCAACCTAGTGATCTCCAGTTGTGTTGGATTACAACTCTGTGCTGGTAAATAGTTATAGCTCTTATGCTTGGGAAAGGCTGGTTTAAAGAGGCAGGCCATATTAAGGAACAAGGTTTGAATTTCTCCCTAAGCCAGAGATAGGCAATTTAGTGCTGTCCAAATATTTTGGACTTCAGGTCCCACCAGCCTCAGCTACCTTGGCCTAAACAAAATTGACTCTGCTCTAAACCATTGTAAAGACAAACCAGAGATTGTCTGAACATAACAAATAGTAGGTAGTCAGAAATGGAAGTAAAAGTAACATAGGTGCACTTATATGATCAAATATATGGGTAAGTGTTTCCTGATACAGAGAATCACTGAACATTCTTGGGGAAAAGAGCAGTTTCTTGCTAACAGGAATATTTAGTTTAAAAGGTTTCTCTCTTTAAAAACAGAACTTCTACTTGGTGCTATTTATTTCTCTAGAAGTATGATAATGATGATAACCTTGCAGTTCTCTCAGTTTTATCTGCAGGGGGTGTCAAAAAAAGTCAAGATAAGTTCTGTGACTGTGCCCCTTAGGGGTGGGACTTCCATTACATGATTGCAACTTCCATCTTGACTTTGTTGACCTCCCACCTGCAGACATCTTTGAACTTACTGTTGTAAATGTATTTTTTCATATTTACATTTCTCTTTTATGATCTTTCTTTTGAGTACCAAGAAAGGGTAGAACAGAAGAAATTGTTCACCAGGCCCAGAATTTGTTTTCACTAGTCCTAGCTCAGTTTAGTATAATTCTGCTATTACTAATTGCATTTGTATCCTGCCTTTCTCAGAGAGATCATGGTGGGTGGTGGTGGAGAGGTCTCCCCTTATTTTATCCTCACAGCAACAGCTTGATGATGTAAGCTAGCCTGAAAGGAAATAACTGGACCAAAGTCTGATACTTAAGCACCTCACTACACTGGCTCTCTTTTAATAAATAAGATACTACTATGCATACATAGAGTTGACCTTGGAGTCCCTTATGAAATGCGTGATTTTTTTCATTCTCTAAATGCTACAAGTTTATTTCTTTACCTAATATTGTCTAGGTTGGGTAGAATGGCATAAAAAACTGAGTTTCTACATCTCCACAACTAACAAAAATTTGGTAAGGCCATTTGCCAGTTGTCTGGCTTTAGCCTTTCTCGTTGCTTCCTTCTTCCTCCCCAGATTCTCCGCTGTTCCTGAAGACTGTGGTTTCCTGGTAGTTGCCAATTCTTATGAGTCAATATGTTCAAGCAGTTTTGAATGGCATAAACATAATTTAATGAGCATTAGAATAAAATGGTATTGCTGATATGAATGTTGCCAGACGTTGATTAATATCTGTATCTTTCATTGTTCAAGTAACACATTTGCATGCACAAACAGAATTACAGATAGTCCTCGAGTTACAACTACATGTTCAGAGACCATTCAAAATTGCGATGGTGCTGAATGAGGGGGACTTACGAACCATCTGCGAAGTTGTGGCCATTGCAGCATCCCCACAGTCATGTGATCGTGATCCGGGTGCTCGGGTGCTTGGCTCATGATTATGACATCACTGCGAGCCACGGTCACATGATCACCATTTGTGACCTTCCCTGCTGGCTTCCCACAAGCAAAGTCAATGGGGAAGCCAGCAGGGAAGGTTGCAAGTTGCTCTTGTATGTTACTGCTGCTGCTTTTTCTTCCAAGGAGCCTCACTATGCATCCCCCACCTGCCCGCACTCAGCGTATGCCTGCCCACAGCCCTCACCAGCCCACCCAGGGCCCTAGTGCCCTCCCACAGCCCCCATTGGCCTGCCCAGGGCATCCCTCCACCCCTTGCAGCACCAGCGCAATCACCCATGACCTCTTCTTGCTTAATGAACTGCATGGTCTGGAGGTTATGATGACAACTGACACTGCTGGAATTGCCATCGCTAAGCGAGGTGGTCACATGACCTTGGGCCAGTCACTCTTTCTCAGCCCAACCCACTTCACAGGATTGATGTCGTGGGGAAAATAGGAGGAGGAAGGAGTATTAGCTGTGTTTGCCACCTTGAGTTATTTATAAAAATAATAAAGGTGAGATTAAAAAAATCTAAAAAAAAAAATCTGGTCCCAGTTGCCATTGTAACTTGAGGACTACCTGTATTATGGAATCGTGGCAGTCACAGCTGAGATACTTTCAGAAAGAGAATTCATGTGGAACAGCAGTCAGCCCTGGGTATTAAGTTAAGGAATACAGCTCACCCACCCATGTATTTAATTGAGTTACAGAGTTCTGTATTGTGCATGGAGAAATGGAGCACTCCCTCCACTTCATTAAATGTGAAATGACTTTGCATGCCAGTTATTTTATTCAGGAGTGCTGTTAGTGCTCAGGAGTATACTTCAGTTCACACTGTCATAAGCTTTTTTGTTAGAGCATTTGCAAACTATTTTGGTCATGTACAATAATATTAAGGGTGCTTCAGTGATATCTTACTTGATAGAATCTATAATATTAAGGTGAAGTGGTAAAATATTTTAAGAATGAAGATAGCATTGGAACATGGTAATTCTGTTTGTACATCTATTGTGCTTTTATCACCACTAGAGTTTAGTGATCTGTTTAGATTAGCAGGAAGAAAAACGGATTAGTCCTGTTCCACAATACACTTAATCCAGTTAGCCACTAACCCCTTCATAGCTTCTTACCAATGATTCAGCAGGATACAATCACACTAACTGGGTCAAACTCTGCAAATTTAGGGGATAAATTCTCTTTTTCAGAAAGTGCCTGTTATTTATCAACCTCTGTGTCTGGAGGGTACTGGCAAAGTCTCACTAGTCTCTCCCTCTTTTGCTAGGTATGCATCAGTGGGCTTGACTTAGATACTCCAACCCAGTGTTTCTCAACCTTGGCAACTCTAAGATGTGTGGACTTCAACTCCCCAAATTTCCCTGCCAGCTGGCTGGGGAATTCTGGGAGTTGAAGTCCACATCTTTAAGTTGCCAGGGTTGAGAAACACTGCTCCAACCAATTGGTGCTAGAATTCTGTGGCTGTCAAAACTCTGCTAGTGAGTTCTATATTGGAGAACCTTGGTTTTTCAGACGCTGTCTGTCTTGAATTCTTTTTCTTAGGGTGTCTTTTTCTTCAGTGCATCCTCACTTATGATTAGGTTATAGAATTCACACAACACTACTGACTGGGTGAAGGTAGTTTAATTCAAAACAAACCTGTGGTAACCCCCACATTCTGAAACAGTTTTCTTTTAGAGGTTCATTGCTATTAGTTCTTGAATTTTGTAAGCAGATAAAAACCATATTATTTCAACTTATTTTTGGCTGTAGTGATTGTGGTTATCTATTGTAGGAATTTTTATTATTTGTATTTGGTTTTTTAAATTGTTCTTACACTTTGTTCACACATTTATGTTGTTTAGTACTCAGAGTCTTTAAGGTCTGAGGAGATCTATAAATACTGCTAAATAAATAAAACTATCCACCTGCTGCACTGGTTCATGGTGTTTGCATAACATGCTTGTTTCCATCATTGGCCCAATTAAGCATGTTGTGCAAACCCAGCCAATGTTAGATCAACCCAATGCCACCTAGAACTGTTGGACTGTGAGGAGTGAAGTTGGGGTTGCTGTCTGTGCTTGGGAAAAGTAGCTGCAGCCAGGCAGAAATGCTTCTCACCCCATTTCCCTCATATATTCAATCATTAACTCAAACTTTACTTACAAGCATCCAAGCCGGCTTTCCAGCTGCCTGTGATAATTGAGCCACACCTTGGCATTTTCAAGGATGTGCCAATGACTAGAGGCAGCCTCATCCCATCCAGGCACTTAACTTACAAAAGCAAATGCTAAGACAGAGTGGAGGAGGTATGTGTAGGAGGAAACGTGATAAGCAAACAGCATACAGACCGGGAAGCGGAGGCGATGTCTGGAGATTGGCAGCTACTACAAGCAGGTAAGAGGACTATCATTCAACTGCCAGGACAAATTATGGTGAGCAGCATATCCCGGTGGGAGTCCTGC